AGACAAGAGAGCAGTGGATTTATTGATTTATTTACTGTATATTGCTGCTGCCACACAGATCTAAAATAAACAAGCGATATATTTCCCAGCTGTTTACCTTCACAGACATAACCAACTGTTTTTGTAACTAATGTGTGCTTTTAACGTAAACTTGTGTGTGAATGAGAACTTAGTTTAGTACTCACATGCTGTGTGGTGGCCTCAGAAAACTGTATGTCAGAAGTTTAAACTCGTATGGTTTAAAACACATGATTTCAGCGCGATAAACATGATAATCAGAACCAAAACAGATGTGTTTAGCAGGTGCGAGCTGTAATGACGCAGCTCAATTCTGGAAAAGGAGGCAGGGAGCAGCAGCTCATTTGCATTTAAAGAGACAGGGCCGAAAAACAGCGTGTTTCTGCTTCCACTCAAAATGGCTAAACCGCCTCTAGTGCGTGTCTAAACTAGTGGTCGACCGATATATATCGCCAAGACTGATATATCGGCCGATATTTGGCTTTTTTCAAATATCGGCATCGGCCGATAAGTTTTTCCTGTTTCGCCGATGCTTTTGAGGCGGGACTTTTATTTTGATGGCGCTCAGAACGGCAGCGTCTGAGCACACAGTGCTCACATTCTCCCTCTTGTTCGCTGTCGTCGTTAACAGTTCTGTCTAATATGGATAGAAGTCTGTCTAATAATCAGATAGAACGGTTAAACAAAGGAATTAAAATGTATACAAAAAAGTATTATAACGATTGCTTTTATATTATTAGTAATAGAAAAGCAAACATTATAATACTGTCTCGTTTTCCGTCAGCATTCAGCAAATACGCATTTAAATCATTTGAACAAATCTTTGAATGTCTAATAATGAACATTTAATTTCACAAACCTTGCAAACTTAGTCGAATCTAGTTGAGATCTTGTGAAGTGTGCATGTGTATCCTGCATGATCGCGTGTTCTCTGCGTGACGGTCGGTCTGTTCAAATTGAATGTGGACAGCTGGAGAGTTCAGCCTCACTGGAGATGCGCGATCGACAGAATTTAAACTCGTGATTTCAAATTATGCTGCACTTTATCCATTTGCCCACTGTCATATTCATGTCATTTTCA